GTTTACCACAGACTTAGAGGGGCTCAAAATCCATGGAGCACCTTCAGGCCTTCTAGGGGCATAAATTACACATCTACACTACTAAGTATCAGTGTTAACCATTTGCCTACCGGGCATTTATACCCCCTTCCTGCCCAGGCCAATTTTCAGCTTTCAGCGCTGTTGCACTTTGAATGACAGTTGCGCAGTCATGCAACACTGTACCCATATGACATTTTTATCTTTTTTTTCACACAAATAGAGCTTTCTTTTGGTGGTATTTAATTGCCGCTGGGGGTTTTATTTTTTGCGCTATTAACGAAAAAAAAGCAAAAAATTTGAAAAAAAAAGTTTTTCTTTGTTTCTATTATAACATTTTGCAAACAGGTAATTTTTCTCCTTCACTGATGTGTGTTGATGAGGCTGCACTGATGAGCTGGTACTGATGATGCTGCATTGATATGCAACAATGATGGGCACTGATAGGTGGCACTGATGAGGGCAGCACTGAATGATGGCACTGCTAGGCACTGACTGGCAGCACTGCTGGGCACTGGGCACTGCTGGGCACAGGTGGGTGGCACTACTAGGCACAGATGGGCACAGGTGGGTGGCACTGTTGGGCACTTGTGGGCGGCACTGCTGGACGCAGGTGGGCGACACTGGTGGGTGGCACTGCTGTGCCCTGATGATTGATGCTGATCCTTCCTCTGACAATTGCCGGTTATCATCAGTACTTTCCTCACGTTGTGACAGCGTGAGGAAAGTGCAGCCGATAACTGGCAACTGCATTTACTGGTGATCTGCTGTGTCATTGGACACGGCTGATCACATGGTAAAAGGCTGCTGTGATTGGCCTTTTACATATTCATATGATGTCCTCCCAGAACTGGACAACCATGCTGTAGCTGTCATTCGGCTATGGGGGCGGTTGGCAAGTGGTTAAGGAACACTATTGCTGGCATACAGTGATCTGGTGAGATTGGGACAGGTATGGCGGTGATCAGTGACAGTGTAATGGTTGTGGCAGTGATCTGGGGCAATATGACTGGTATGGTGGTGAACAAGGACATTGTAACTGGTGTGGTGGTAATCAGGGACATTGTAACTGGTATGGCAGTGATCAGGGACACTATAACTGGTGTGGCAGTGATTAGGGACAAAATGACTAGTGTGGTGGTGCTTAGGGACAATATGACTGGTGTGGCAGTGATTAGGGATAAGATGATTGGTGTGGTGGTGAGTAGGGGCACTGAGACTGGTGCGGTGGTGATTAGGGACACTGACCGGTGTGGACTTAAGGAAGCTGACTGGCAGCACTGGTCTGGTGACACTGTACTGCTGTGGCGGTGATTAGAGACAATGGCTGGTGGCACTGACATACAGTGAAATCAGAGCAGCCAGCCATTGCACATGATCACTGTCACAGCAGTACAATGTCACCAGAGTGACATTGCACTTACTCTGATGACAGTATGTGAAATAATATTTTTTCAAATATTTTTCTTAATACAATTTACAGAGCAGTGGAATGTTACCATAGTGACACTGTACTGCAAACTACTGGGGGGAGGGGGGGTTGATCAGATGATTTCACTATATAAGCAATCATTTCTATCTGTTTGGCACCATTTATGATGCCATTGTTTACTATTGCGATTGCTGCAATTGTCCACAGCAATCACATGGTAAAGGGTTGCTGCGCCTGGCCCTGTACCATGTGATCACTGTGACTAATCACATAAATCACAGTAGTAAGCAATAGCGTCAGAAATGACAGCTACTGTTTACTATTGTTCATGTGATCACTGTGATTGGTCACATTGATCACATGATACCGGGCCAAACTGGGTAATTGATGTAAATACAGCGCAATATTATTCACTTAGTTTAAATGTATGTATAGCCCAAATCTTTTTATTTTTTGTAGTTTTTGATTTTGAGTAGGGAAGGGTACTACAAAATCAATGAAAATAGGTAAATACTGGGACTTTTCAGGTGCCATTCATAACTGATGATAAGGGTTCACACTGGGAATCCTTTGATTTTTCTGTATACACATGCTGCATCATCTGGACTATTGATTTGATGTATCAAGTGTTACATGCATCTATGAGACATCTTAGCATCCCAAGTCCAAGAACATTTGAAAAGCTGATCTACTGGGATGTTATATACATTCTTTAATATGGGTTTTCCTGTTTGAGACATTTATACTGAGGAGCTGACTATTATAACATTATACTTTAGGATTAGACACCTTATTATATCACCATTTCATTTCAAGATTTCTTTGGTTTTGAATTTTGGTGGGTTCTTGGAATTTCCCTTCTTTTATCTTCGGGAATTTCAATTTGCACAGAATGGGAGTAAATACTTACCTTACTTCTGGGTATAAAAAAAACAGGGTCCCTCCACCAATGTGACCAGTCCTCACAGCCTGTTCTTGTTGCACTCCAGCCTCCTCAACATACAATACAAGGTTAATGTCCCTGTATTGTATATGATGCTGCCAAGGCTCCTCCCACAGCCCAGAGCTTTGGGCAGAGAAGGAGAGCACTGGAGTGGGTACGTAAGTGTATGTAGGTAAGTGATAGAGCTTGAACTATGCAGACATATTAGACATAATTAGACATAACTAACTTTTACTCCTTACAATGCTGGAGGCCCCACTGCAAGGGAGCATTTTACCTGGAGATTTAGGCTCTATCTTACTCTCTTTAACCCCCTTTTATTTAAAAATGTTTTTCAATATGCATACTGGCAATAATAAAATGATTTGCTTTTTATATATACAATAAACATTCTGTGTAATACATTCCCAAAGCACCTGAAAAGTCCACGTATTTACTTGTATTCATTTTTAATGGTGTTGCATAAGAATGTGGTGTGATCAACTAGTTGGCCAGATCTAATACAGCCTGTTCTGGAGACGACTCTAAAATGTTGGATTACCCATCCCTTTCCCTTTTGATGACAATGGTCACCAAGACAGTTGGGACACAGGTACCAGTAGAAAACAATAGAGTTCCTCAGACCTTTCACACAAGCATACATACACCAAACATTTTGAAATAAACCTCTATCCCTTGGTCTTGAAAGGATTAAAAAATATATATCTACTAATGTTGAGAAGAAATAGCTAATGTTAAGTGAACTGGGTTACTGTAAAAGAAGGGATATGCAAATAAGGAGATGTGAATAAAAGAGCTAAGTCTAGGAGGTGGCATGCACCTCATTGGACTTAACCAATAGTAAGCCAACACATTCTAGAATTTGGCTGAATTCCTGGAGTCCAGCTTCAAGCACCCATGGCTCTGCTCTGGTATAGTTTCCATGATCTGCCATAACATAGCCAAATTTCGCATATATTGCTGCTAATTGCATGCACTTTTTGTGTTTATATCTCCAAACTAGTACTATAATGGCACCCAGTACTTATTAGGTTCTCAGTTTGGCAACTTCCAGATAAACCAGTTTGTCAGTAGGATAATTAGAATTATGAACATATTTTACCTTGGGAGCTTTCATCTTTCTCTTCATGAATGAGATTAAATGACACTGATATCCAGGTTTTTTTTAATACTATTGTTAAAGAATCTCAGTTTCTGGATGTGTGACCTTCTATGATTGATTTTTGTTTAGTGTGTGTTCTGCTTGTCAGATATATTTCAGATATATTTCAGATGTATTTCTATTTTTAAGCAACAGGCATTTTTTTTTTTAGGTATCCTGTATATCAATAATCAGTTTGTGGAAGAGCATGGTGTATTTTTAGAGAGTGCATATTTCCTTTGCTCCCATGGTCACAGAGGGGTTGATTTACTAAAACTGGAGAGTGCAAAACCTGGTGAAGCTCTGCATAGAAACCAACCAGCTTCCAGGTTTTTTGGTAAAGATTGGCTACCATGCACAGCTGCATCATATTTTGCATTCTCCAGTTATACATTCACCGGCCACTTTATTAGGTACACCTTGCTAGTACCGTGTTGGACCCCTTTTGCCTTCAGAACTGTCTTAATTTTTCGTGGCATAGATTCAACAAGGTGTTGGAAACATTCCTCAGAGATTCTGGTCCATATTGACACGATTGCATGCCTTTCTATCATCCAGAACCACTTTGCCCATTCTCCTCTGACATCAACAAGGCATTTTCATCCACAGAACTGCCACTCATTGGATATTTTCTCTTTTTCAAACCATTCTCTGTAAACCCTAGAGATGGTTGTGCATGCAAATCTCAGTAGATCAGCAGTTTTTGAAATACTCAGACTAGCTTGTCTGGCACCAACAACCATGTCACATTCAAAGTCACTTAAATCCCCTTTCTTCCCTATTCTGATGCTTGGTTTGAGCTTCACCAAGCCGTCTTCACCATGTCTAGATGCCTAAATGCACTGTTGCTGCCATGTGATTTGCTGATTAACAATTTGTGTTACTAAGCATTTGAACAGGTGTACCTAATAAAGCAGCTGGTGGGTGTAGTAAATCAACTCCAGTTATTACCCCATAATAGGAAGTGCCTAAGGAGCCTTAATGGCAGGATCAC